CTTGAAGAGTTGATGAGACGGAGCCAACTCACTCACAGGCAACTAATAACAAGAAGGATCAGAGGGGCTGGGGGGCCACACGTCAAAGGATCCTCCCTCCCTACAGCATCCCAGCCTAGGGGAGATCTGCCAAGACTCTGTCAGTGACAATACATTTCTACTTTCTGCCTGCTACTCGTTGGGTCAATTTGTTAATCGCTTAGCCTAACTTAAACAAATTACTATAAAGCGGAGCACCAAAGCAAAACCCTAAAACTTGCAGCATGTAGCACTAAGAGGCCATGTGGCAGGGGCAAGCAAACACAAAAAGAGCATGCTGGGAAGCTTGGGCTCATGAACCCATGACTCCCACAGAAAAGCACCCCAGAAATCTGCTGCGGTGACCTGGGAGGCAGATGGTGTGCTGCTGAGCTGGTAGCTCAGCGTGCTGCTTTAAGCAGACACTGTGAGAAAATGGGGAACAAGGAGGTAACTGGCATGCCTGCAAGTTGTTGTTACGGGCCATCAAGTCAGAAACAACTCACAGCTGACCCCTGGTGGGTACTCAGAGGCTACATGCATGGGAGGGAATTGCCCATCTTTCTCCTGCAGAATATCTGGTGGATTTGAACTGTGTACTTTTGTGCTTGGAGTGCAGCTCCTTACCACTAGGACACTAGAGCTCCCTTGTTTGCAAGTAAATGGAATGAAACTGAGAGTTCTGGAATTACAAAGCCTTAGAAAGATGGAAAAGTCAAAGGGAAGATAGAGGCGTTGAACAATAAGAAAAACAGCTGCTGTCAAGAAGATTCTAGCTCAGGGGAGCTCTGGTGGCCTAGTGGCAAGAAGCTGCACTGCAATCCCAGAAGTGCATGGTTCAAACCCACCAGATGCTCTGCCGGGAAAGGAGGGACAATCTCCTCCTGTACCAGTCAGATCTGATCTGATGGTACACAGACACACAAAAATAATAATAATAATAATAATAAAAGAAGATTCTAGCTCATAGCAGCCCTGTGTGTGAGAAAAACTGTGCTCCATTAGGGTTTCAAGGGCAGGCTTCTTGGACGGAGACAGCCAGGCCTTTCTTCAAGGCACCTGTGGGTGAATTACAATCTCCAACTTTTTAGATGGCAACTGAGTGCTGAACCATTTCATTTGCACTCCTCAGGACCTCCTTCAACAAAGCCTTTACGTTAGGCCACTAGCCAGGCTTGACCTTGTGACTGGTCTCCAATCTCCCTTGGGCTGACACAGCAGAGTGCAGGGTTAGGCTGCAGTTAAACAAAGAGAGTCTGAGGCTCCTGGCCAGGTGAAAAATGTGGATACAGGCACTGCCACATAGAGTGAGTAACAGGGAGCAAGTAGGTCAGATGTGCCCAGGTTTTTGAGGGGATGATGGTACAAAGAAAAATGAGCCTGGCCTAAAACAACCTTTGGAACAGCAAACTCTTATCAGCAGGAAGTGTGTTGTGAAAGCAGCTCACCTCCACGGAGGGCAGACTTCCCAGCCTGGCCTCCCCTGTGGACAGAGCCAGTGTCCCTGGAGAAATAGCCTTCTCTGCTGGTGGATAGGCCCTCCCCGCACCAGAATTCCATCACCACCTGGGGCCAGGGGCTGCCTCCTTCTGAGGTTCTGAGGGAAGTTACTACTGCAGTTATCCTTCGTGTGTGTGTGTGTGTGTGTGTGTGTGTGTGTGTAAGCAGTTCCTAGACCTCAGAGATGACCTCAAGGTGGACACAGTGGCTGCCCGGCCTCAGTATAACTCCCCTGTGGGTGTGTACACAAAGGGAGAGTGCCTGCAGACAGCAGTGTGCAGAGGGGTAGATATTAGGGGAACCTGACAGCTTCCTAGTGGAATCTGCTACCCTTCTCCAGGGCACACACTAGACCCCATTTCCCATCCCTCCCTGCATCCACTGAGACCATGTGACACTGTTCCCAATGGAATAGAAATGAGGGGCAAGTGGCACTGGCCTTTATAAAACCATGTGGGGTTTCCCATTGTCCTCTGTGGAATGGAACGTGGGCAGGATGGTCTGGCCTCCACCATGCAGTGGGCAGCAAGGCACTGACAGGTGACGTGAGCTAGACCATGAAGAGGTCTGGCTCCCTCAGTCACTTCAGGGAGGAGCCTTCAGCCAGGACTGTCTGGAGAAGGGGAAGAACACTACCCTCATTTGAAGAACACTACTACTCATTTGAGCTACTGCATCTGTGGGTCCATTTGTTACAGAAATTTAGCCACCTTGACTCCCAAATGAGGCACTGGTGGGTCAGTTGTCAAACTCTCACCTTCTATGCAAGAAAATTATGGCTAACATTGAGAAGAATGGGAATCCCAGAACACTGCATTGTGTTCATGTGAAGCTATACATAGACCAAGAAACTACCGTCTGAACAGAGCAAGGGAGCACTGCATTGTTTAAAATCAAGAAAGGGGTGTGTGCCAGGGTTGTCTACTTTTTCTGTATCTATTAAATCTGTATGCTGAGCAGATCATTTGGGAAGCTAGACTATATGAAGAACAATGTAACATCAGGATTAGAGAAAAACTCATCAACAATCTGCATTATAAAGATGCCACAGTCTTGCTTGCAGAAAGTGAAGACTTGAAGCACTTACTGCAGAAGATCAAAGACTACAGGCTTCAATAGGAGTTACATCCCAACAACAAGAAAACAAAAATCCTCACCACTGGACTTATAAGCAACATCACGATAGATAAAGAACAGATTAAAGTTGTCAATAAATTCATTTTACTTGGAACCTCAAGCAATACCAGTCAAGAAATCCAAAGTTGTGTTGCATGGGGAAAATCTGCTATTAAGGATCTCTCTAAAGTTCTAAAGAACAATGATATCAGTTTAAAGACTAAGGTGCAATGGGTCCAAACCATGGTATTTTCAGTTGCTTCCTATGCAACTAAAAGCTGCATGATGAATAAAGATGACAGAAGAAGAATCGACGCCTTTAAGGTGTGGTGTCGGCTAAGAGCATTGACACCCTGGACTGCCTAAACAAGCAAGTCAGTCTTGAAGGAAGGTCAACCAGAGTGCTCCTTGGTGGCAAGGATAGTGAAACTTCATCTCACCTCCTTTGGACACATTATCAGAAGGAATCAGTCCTTGAAGAAAGACATCATGCTGGGAACGGTAGAGAGGACAAGCATGACAGGAAGACTCTCAGTGAGATGGACTGACACAGTGACATTAAGGTGGCACTGAACAGGGCAGGTGCAGATCGGTTGTACCTGGGGCCTCAATGAGTCATAGTTGACTTGAGGGCACTTAACAACAACAACAACGCAGGAGACCTGGCTTTGATTCCCAGCCAGTGAACCTCAGGTGTAGCTAACACTCATGTGTCAGTGGAGGCTGGCAGGTGGCCCATGATGCTAAATAGGGTTTCAATGGGGCTGCAAGACTAACACTAGGAAGAAAAGCCTGTGATCTGCTTCCAAAAATGAGCCATTGAAAACCCTATGGACCAGGAAGGGTCTGATTACCACCAGATGATGGGATGGAGCAAAATTAGGCAACATTTCAATCCATTTGGTATGGTCATTACGAGTCACAGACTTCTCATTAATAAACAAAAACAACTAATCCTACAGCTACTAGGATACCTAAGAAAATAATAACAAAACTTTAGAAATTATCTAAATGTACAACTCTCTGGGATAGATAAAATAAATGAGCGCCGACTTTACCAGAGCTCCCTTTATTTTACCATAATTTATGATGGCAGATCCATGTAATTTAATAATATTTTATTAAAAACATTGTGCCAAGCGAGGTCTGGTGGCCTATTGGTAAAAAATTGCATTGAAATCCTGAAATCACTTGGTTAATTCACCAGCCACTCCACAGAAGGATGGCATTTTCTTCCCATGCAATTTACGACCTCTGAAAATCTGCTGGAGGGTCAGTCTGACTCAATGACACACAACAATGACGTGTAGGTAGGAGGAGAGCTCTGGTGGCTTGGTGGTAAGGAGCTGAGCTGCTAACCCGAAGACAAGCGCTTTGAATCCATCAACAGCTCCATGGGAGAAAGACGGATTTCTCATGTGATTTATAGTCTCTAAAATCCCCTCGGAGGGTCAGCTACAAGCCAATTCCAAGTTGACGACACACAACAATAACAATGCAGCTAGTGACAAAGAAAAATATTTACTGTTGCTAAATTAGAAGACAGGTCCTGGAAGGGAAGGTCTTTTTTCAAATCTGTGCTAAAAAAATGAGATTTCTTTTTGTTTGGAATCTTAACAAGTCTGCATTTGTGGTAGCTCTTCTCCAAGATTCGCCATGTTGCCCAAAAAGGACAAGAAAAAGAATGACACCGGAAAGTAGGCCAAGAAGGACAAAGACTCGCTGAACAGATGGAGGAAAGGCCAAGAAAAAGTCATCCAAAGTCAAAGGTCAGGGCAAGCTCAATAACCTGGTCTTTTTTTTAAAAAAAAAAATTTTTTTTTTACTTTATTATTTTTTTTTCACATGTACCATCAAATCAGATCTGACTGGTACAGGAGGAGATTGCCCCCTCCTTCTCCAGCAGAGCATCTGGTGGATTTGAACCGCAGCGTCTTGCCACTAGGCCACCAGAGCTCCCTTAACCTGGTCTTTTTAAACAAAATCACATATGACCAACTGTGGAAAGAAGTTCCCAACTATATGCTTATAACCCTGGCTGTTTTCTCTGAGAGACTAAAGATTCGGGGTTCCCTGGCCCAAGCGGCCCTTCATGGGCTGCCCAGTAAAGGATTTATTAATCTGGATGTAAAACACAGAGCTCAAATCACTAACACCAGAAATACCAGGGCTGGTGATGGCCCAGCTACTGGTGAAGAGGCATGAACAGGTCCAACCAACTATCCATTTCAAAAATTCAGACTTCATTAAATGAGGAAAAAAGTTAAAACTATAGAGAGAGCAGAGTGTATCTGTGTGCATAAGCAGGGTATGGAGAGAGAAAGAAACAGGAAGAGATGTTGATGTGGAAAGTGTTCTTATCTTACCTTGGATCACCCAAAGTTCCTGTTTTCCTCACATTCACCAAATGGACAGTCTGCTTTTTGACATTCAGAATCTGTTTGGAGCAGTAGAGGTTCAAATTCTAAAAGCCAAAAATCAAGAACATTGGTACTTTTCAGTATATTACAATCCATTAGGACATATTTACATATAAGATCAGGCCTCTGAATGCTTTTCAGGAATGTTGTTTAGGATTACTCTTCCCCTCCCCTTCTCCTTTAGGGTTGCTGTGTAGCTTTTAACCACTAGGCCACCAGAGCTCCCAATCCCCCACTCCCAAATGCATCACTTTTAATTCTGCTTGTCTCTTGCTAAGCCTATGCCGTCAAGTATGCTATGAGCCACATATAGCTACTGGAATTTATTAAATTAACAACATGATAAAACCCAGGTCGTCAGTTGCACCCCTTACGCTTCCAGCACTCTGCAGCCATGCATGGCTAGTGGTCCAGACCGAGTAACCCTTCCACCTTCACAGGAATTCTATGAGCATGCTGCTCCACTGTTCAGGTTATGTGGGGGTTAGCCACAGGGCTCTGCTGCCTCCACTCGGGTATTACGACTGCTGCCCCTGAAGCCATCAACGGCCACCTGTCTTCTGATTCCTGGTCACCAAGGTGCACTCAGAATACACAGCTTTGACAAACTTGAATCTCTGGAGTTCAATCTCTCTATGTGCTCAGCACAGTAGTAGGCTCATGGGAAGCATCTGATCAGGAAAGTACTTGTATGCTCCTAGAATTTTCCTTTAAAAAGCATAAAAATAGCATGAAGAGGTCCAGTAAAATCCAAATGTGAAGATTTGACTGCTGTATGAGGCTCTTACTACATGTTCTACAAGAGGCAATGTAACCTCTTGGGTTTTCAAAAATGTACCTGCTAAAATCAATCTCCACGGTCAACACTCTTGGCACCAGGAGGCAGGAAATAAAAAAACATATCACGATGGGAAAGTCTGCTGTTAGGGACCTCTCTAAAGTACTCAAGAGCAACGGTGTCTCTCTGGAGACTAAGGTGCACCTGATACAATCACTTGTTATACATCAGAGAGTTGGACAATGACTAGGGAAGATAGAAGGAGAATTGATGCCTTTGAGCTGTGGTGCTGGAGAAAAGTATTGAATGTACCATGGACTGCCAAGAAAACAAACAGATTCATCCTGGAGAAGGTTAAACCAGGCCACTCCTTGGAGGCAAGAATTCTGGGGCTTTGTCTGACATACTTTGGACATGTTGTAAGGAGAGACAAGTCCTTAGACAGAGACATCATGCTTGGTAAGGTGGAGGGACAGTGCAGGAGGGGAAGACCCTCTATGAGGTGGATTGATTCAGTGACTGGGTTAATTGGGATGGGTGTGTCAGAGGCCATGCGATTGGCACAGGATAGAGCAGAGTTTAGGGCTGCTGTACATAGGGTCTCTATGAGTCGCAAATGACTCGACGGCACATAACAACAACAACAACAACAACAACAACAACAACCCGCTAAAAGCCCAGTGCCTGGCCCTGTAGAGATGGGTCTAAGTTGAATGCTGCCAGCTTTGCTGTTGGAACCAAACTAACCAGCTAGAGAGACCAACAAAATAACTGGATGACTGTCATTTGCAAGCAGAGGTGGAAGTCCCAGCATGAGGATCTAGCCCAGGGCAGAAGAACAAAGAGTCCACAGAAGGAACAAACAGTAGTACAGCCAGGGTGGGGAAATAGAAGTGATGATGGCTGCAGATGACTAGAGGGGTTGGTGAGTTGAGGGGATAGTTACAGGGACTTGGGAAAGGATTTCATCCTGGGAAGACACCAAAGGGTTTCATGAAGCTGGTGAGAAGATTTGCCTTTTCTAAAGTTCATGCCAGTTGTCACGTTAGTTACAGTTCTAGACCCATCAGAACACTTGGCAAACTCAAAAAAGAAAAAAAAAAATAGATGATGAGAAGTGAGTATCAGGAGGAAATGGAGGTTGGGGAGTAAGACAGTATGTTTAAAAGAGTTGGCTGACTATCTATAGAAGAATCTTGACCAAGAGAGGGAGAAATAGAGAATAGGATTTCAAATTCTAATGGAATCCAGACTTAATGGAATCACTGAAGCCTGGTGAACCCTTAAAATGATTGCTTTCAGATAATCTTAAACCAAAAAGATCCCCTGAAATCCTAATTAATAAAGATTATCGGCCTTCAGCCTGTCGCTCTTTTAAAGAGCTACCTATCTGGGATCCAGCAGACATCAGCTTCTTGAAAGGTTGGTCAGGAAACTTAGAAGGCAGGGAGTTTATGTTCATAAGGGAAGGTTAATTCCGAAGAGGAGGAGGAGAATGGTTGTACAACTTGAAGAACACAATCTGTCACTAAATCATGCATGCAGAAATGTCATACTGGTGTATACTTTTGTTGTACATATTTTTCAACAATTGAAAAAAGAAAAAAAGCTGGGATTGGAAGGAAACTGGAGAGAATAGCTGCAATAACCTTAGCCCTGGCTACAGTACATTGTAGGGTGTTCAATGTGCTTGTTACTGTTCTTAATTCTCATACTAATGGACTAATTAAGTCCTAACAACCCTGTAAGGCAAGCACTTTCATCACTTGGATCTTATAGATGAGCAAACTGAGGCAAAGAGAGGGTATGTAACTTACCCAAAGTCTCACAGATAATAAGGAGCCAAGCTGGGACTTGAACCCAAGTTGTTTGGCTCCACAGTCTATGCTACAAAGAAAATAATCATATGTTTGGGGATCAAACCAGGTCCAAAATACTGAGGGGACGTATTTGAGGATGTTGAACCCATCTCAGGAGTTTTCGTCCTCCAGAGCCCTGGCCCCTCATGTCCTCATAGTCTCTTAGTCTATCTGATACCTTTATACAGTTTGTGCTTTATTTTTTTTCTTAAATGCTATCTAATTGAGGATTGTTCTTGATGGGAAATTCTGATTCAAGTCATCACAGTTTATATCAGGTAGCCCTAAGTCTTTAAATTGGCATCCTTGCTCTTAAGAACTTTCAAGAGGCCCTTGACAGCAAAATTTCCCAACACAACATCACTTTTCTTGACTGCTAGTACCATGGATACTGTGGATCCACGTAAAACAAAATTGTTCACAATTTCAATCTTTTCTCTATCATGTTATTGCCATGGTCCAGTGGTGAGTTTTGACTTCCTGATGTTGTGATATAACCCATATTGAAGACTGTAGTCGTCTTTGATCTTCTGCAGCAGGTGCTTTAAGCCTTTTTCATTTTCATCAGGCAAGGTTGCAGATTGTTGATGAGTTTTCCTCCAGTCCTGATGCCACAGTCTTTTTCATGTAGTCCAGTTTCCCAAATGATTTGTTCAGCATACAGATTAAATGTTGTTAGATGCCACTGAGTCAAATATAACTAATAGGGATCCTAAGAACAATGTGTCCTAACCAGATTGGATATGGAGAAGGATACATTGTTCCTAATTTTAAACCCGGCAGTGTTCCCTTGTTCAGACAACTCCTTTTTGGTTGATATTTAGGTTTCATGGGCACAATTAAGTGCTCTGGGATTCCCATTCTTGTCAATATTTGTCACAATTTGTTATGATTCACACATTCAAATGCCTTTACATAATCAATAAAGCACAAACATACACCTTTCCAGTATTCTCTGCTTTCAGTCGAGATTCATCTAACATCAGCAATGCCAGCCCTTGTGCCACTGGCTTCTTCTGAATCCAGCTTTTGAACTTCAGAAATTCAAAGTGGATTCAAAAAGGGCTCCTTAGACACTGGTGGCCTAGTGGTAAGGGGCTGCGATACCAACCGAAAAGCATATGGTTCAAATCCACCAGCTGTTCCACAGGAGAAAAGATGGGCAACCAATTCCCAAGCGATTCACTGCCTCTGAAAACTCGCTGGAGGGTCAGCTAGATGAGTCGGTTCTGACTCGACGACACATAATACCAAGAAGTAAATGAAATAGGAATGACAAGCTTACGGACGTCCACACGGTAACATCGGGTTATCGGAAGGATGAAACCGAGGGAAAACGCGAACGGGAGAAAAAGATAAGGGGAAGGGCGGGAGTAGCGAGGTGACCAGGCTGCTTCCAGGGAAGCCCCCGCCCTGACCAGCACTCCCCAGAGGAGAGCGCGGCCCGGACCCGCCTCCATGAAGGCCCCCCGTGCACCCAGGCCCGGAGCCCGAACACGAAGAGCGTGCGCGGCGCGCCCCCGGCTCAGGCCCAGAGCAGGTATGTGGTGAGCGTGCGCGGCGCGCCCCCGGCTCAGGCCCGGAGCAGGAACGTGGTGAGCGTGCGCGGCGCGCCCCCGGCTCAGGCCCAGGGCCCAAACACGGAGAGCGTGCCCGGCGCGCCCCCGGCTCAGGCCCGGAGCAGGAACGTGGTGAGCGTGTGCGGCGCGCGTCCGCGGAGCGTGCGCGGTACCTCCCACCGCCGGCGGACGGCCCGCGCGGCCGGGGCGGTGCTGGTACTTACAAGTCGGTGTGAAGGGCAGACCGTGGCAGTATTCGTGCACAGCCTTTGGCGGCCGCAGAGCAAAACGTTCTTCGCTGGCCAGGCGGTCCGAGCGCTGGTCTGGACTGGGCGTGGGGCCACCGCCCGAGGAAGGAAGCTGGCGGCCGCGCGGCACCCGATCTTCCACATCCTGCTCCTGATCTGCGGTGCTATTGTTGCTCCGCCCTCCCGCTGTCCCGCGGGAAGGTGCGACGACCCCTGGTGGCCACTGACCGCAGGCGCACCTTCTGGGCTCTAGTTCCCAGGTATTTTTTTTTAAATTATTTTTTTTTCTAGAATTATATTTTATTAATTTTCATAAACATTTACAGAGATTTTGGGTTTCCATTCATTCATTTTTGCACTAGTTCCCAGGTCTTTTAATACAGGTGGGCAGAAACGAGCGCAGGAAGAATTTCCCTACCTTGCACCTTCTGTGCCATTTAACTATAATAAAACGCTTTGTCCGTGCAAAGCACGGAACTTAATAATTTAGCAACGTGGTGACTGCGAAACCAAGACCCCTTTTCTCAGAAACATCAGCAATTCCCATCTACGCGGCTACGGAAATTCTGTTGTTATGTGCCATGGAGTCTCCTGCTACTCATAGCAACCCTATGAAAAACAGCTATCAACCTGGTCTTTCATGAGCCAAACCTCATTGTCTCTGGCACACTTGCCCCCATTAACCTAGTCACTGGAGGAATCCATCTCATCCAGAGTCGTCTTTTCCAGTGCTGTCCATCCACTCTACCAACCATGATGTCCCTCTTGGCCTCATGCCCAAAGTATGTGAGAAGGAGCTTCAAAATTCTTGCCTCCAGGGAGCCGTCTGGTTTCACCCTCTTGGGGACAGACCTGTTTGTTCTCCTGGCAGTCAATAGTATGTTCAACAGTCTTCTCCAGGTCCTTCTTCTATCATTCTGAGTTATTGTCCAGCTCTTGGATACACAACAAGTAATTGCAAAGACCATGGCCTGGATCAGGCACACCTTAGTCTCCAGACTGACATCATTGCTCTTCAGTACCCTAGAGAGGTCCCTGGCAGCGTACTTTCCCAGTGATTTTCATCTTTTGATTTCCTAACTACTGGTGCTAAGAGTATAGATTGTGGAACTAAGCTATCAACAACCTTAGTTTCTTCTCTGTCCATCATGAAACTGTTGATTGGCCCAGTGGTGAGAATCTGTTTCTTGATGCTGAGCTTCAATCCATGTTGAAGACTACAGTCCTTGACCTTCTACAGAAAATGGCTCCTGTCCTCTTCAGTTTGAGCAAGCAAGGTTGTGTCATCTGCACAATGCAGATTGTTGATGAGTCTTCCTCCAATCCTGATGCCACATTTCACCTCAAGGAGTCCAGCCTCCTGAATGATCGGTTCTGCATATAGATTGAAAAGGTATGGAGATAAGATGCATCCATGACACACACCTTTCCTGATGCTGAACCATGCAGTGTTTCTTTGCTCTGTTCTAACTATTGCCTGGTCCAAGTATAGGTTTCGCATGAGCACAATTAAGAGTTCTGGAATTCCCTTTTTTCTCAAGGTTAGCCAAAATTTGTTGTGATTCACACAGTCAAATGCCTTTGCTTAGTCAATGAAACACAGATAGACGTCCCTCTGGTGCTCTCAGCTTTCAGCTAAGATCTATTAACATTGGCTATGATGTCCCTAGTGCCGCAGCCTCTTCTAAGGCCAGCCTGGACATCTGGCAGTAGTCTGCTGATATACTGTTCCAGTCAATTTTTTTATAATCTTCTGCAAGATCTTGCTTGTGTGTGATAAGAGTGAAATTATTCAATAATTTCCACACTGTTTGGTCACTTTTTTTTTTTGAATGGGAACAAATACAGACCTCTTCCAATCAGTCGGTCAGGTAGTTCTCCTCCAGATTTCTTGTTATAATCTTCACTAATGAGTGAAGAACACATGAGCTGTGGGAGGATATTAAGAATATCATTCATGAAGAATGCAAAATGTCACTGCAAAGAGAAAGGAAAAAGAAAAGACCAAGATGAATGTCAAAAGAGACTCTGAGAAACCAAAGCAAAGGGAAGAGATCAAAGAGTTTAGGAGATGAACAGAACATTTCAAAAGACTCCATGAGAAGACAAAGCAGAGTATTATAATGAAATGTATGAGGAGCTGGAATTGGAAAATCAAAAGGGATGAACTCACATTTCTTAAGCTAAAGGAACTGAAGAACAAATTTAAGCTTCGAGTTGCAATACTTAAGGATGCTGAAGGCAGAATATTGAATGACCCAGGAAACATCAAAAGAAGATGGAGTCCACAGGGGAACTATACCAAAAAGAATTGGCTGGCAATTTAATGAAACAGCATATAATCAAGAGCTTGTGGTGTTGATGGAGGATGTCCGTTCTGCTTTGAAGAAATTTGCAAAAAAACAATGCCTTAGGTATTGATGGAATACTAGAAATTCTATATATGAAAAATTTGGGACCAGAAATCTGGCTCATACTTAACTGATAATTATAGTTTACAGGTGGTTAAGAATGTGCAGCCAGCATATTGAATTTTCCCCCTTTTATTATGATTTGACTTCCCCCTCCCTTTTATTGTGATTTGGCTATGTAAAGGCATTTGACTGTGTAGATCACAACAAATTGTGGCTAACTCGGAGAAGAATGGGAATCCCAGAACTCTTGATTGTGCTTATGCAAAACCTCTACTTGGACCAGGAGGCAGTCATCAGAACAGAGCAAGAAAACACTGCATGGTTTAATATTGGGAAGGATGTACACCAGGGATGAGGAGGAATATAGCATCAGGACTGGAGAAACACTAACCAGCAACCTGCATTATGCAGATGACACAATCTTGCTTGCTCAAACTGAGGAGGACCTGAAGAAAGTCAAGGACTGCAGCCTTCAATATGGATTGAAGCTCAACATCCAGAAACAAAGATTCTCACCGATGGGGTGAAGAGATTGAGGTTGTTAACAGCTTTAGTTTGCTTGGTTCCACAGTCAACACTCTTGGTACTAGCACCCAGGAAATCAAATGATGAATTTTATTGGAAAGTATGCTGTCAGGGATATCTCCAGAGTACTGAAGAGCAACAATATCAGTCTAGAGACTAAGGTGTGCCTGATCCAGACCATAGTCTTTACAACTACCTGCTAAGCATCAGAAATCTGGACAGTAACTAGGGATGATAAAAAGATAATTGATTCCTTTGAGTTGTGGTGCAGAGAAGAGTATTGCTTATACCATGGACTACGCAGAAAACAAACAGGATCTTTCTGGAGAGGGTGAAACCAGCTCTTCCTTGGAGGCAGGGATTCTGAAGCTGACATACTTTGGGCATGTTGCAAGGAGGGACCAGTCCTTGAAGAGGGACATCATTCTTGAGAGGGTGGAAACAGCTCAAGAGAGAAAGACCCTCAATGAGAAGGATTAATTCAGTGACTGGAGTATTGGGAGTAGGTGTGTCAGAGACAGTAAGGTAGGCTCTGGTTAAAGTAGGTTTCAGAGCTGTTGTACATAGGGTCGTAATGAGTCGCAGGTAACTTGATTGCCCATAACAACAACACTGTGATTTGAGTGAAAGTTTATAAATAATATTGATTTTTTAAATCCAAGCATTTATATATACTTTTTATAACATCAGCTGCAATTAATGAATATAATTACGACTCATCAATGCTTAATATATATGGCTTTCCCCTTCATCCTATTTAATAAGTGTCTATTATATCTTTCTTTCCTTTCACTACCCTCCCTCCCTTTCCATTCATGGTAACCATCCAGAAATGATTCTATTTGTGTGTGAATCTCTCCTTAGCTTTTTATCCTGGTCTTCTTATGCAATGTTTGTCCTTTTCTGATCTGGACTCTGCCTCCCCAGATGCCTAGATGTCTCTCGATAGACTGGGACTTGACTCTACAAGTATGTGAGCCATTTCCTTGAAATAAAGTTCTTTTAAATATCTAAACCCCATTCTTACAATTTTGTTTCTCTGAAAGGTAAGCTATGACTCCATTCTGACTTGAAAGCACATAACAGCAACAGAACCATTCTTTGTACCAAATGTCTAGGTCTAGTTTCTCCAAAGAAGCAAACCAATAATATATTAATATTTTTTACCAACACCATATTTCAAAGACATTAATTATTCATTTGTCCTTTTTAACTGTCTAGCTCTCACATTGTAGTTTTCACCGATAAAAGTACTATGGTTTTATTAATTCTAAGAGTGACATTTTTCTTTTTGACACTTAAAAGTAGTATTTGCCTACTGTAATCACATAGTTTGATTTATCTTTTTCAGTTATTTTGTTTTTTTATTATACTAGTTTATTTACAAAATTCATATACATTGTTTTCCAGACCAGATTCTTCCTATTTCCCTCACCCCTCTATTAAATTATACAACCATATGATTAATCCCCCTCCCCCACATCCTCATCCCTCTGCTTCCACCCTCCCCTCCCCTAGGATCCTCATACTCATTCTACAATAATGGTTTTCTAAAATATTTGTCTTCCTAGGACTGAGAAGCAGCTATGTTGTTCCTGGTTTTGGCTGGCTCCTCCCAGGCTCCCAGGCTCTTGGGAAGCTCTCCTTGCCAGAAGGAAGGAGCATGGTGGTGGGAGTGCAGGAATCGTGGCAAGCTTTTGGAGTCAACTGCTTTTCTGGGAATGTGTTTGACGTGCAGGTTTGCTCTGTCACTGGAGTGAAGCTAGCCAGCCTGGGCCTAGGGTTTGAACCAGGAGGTGGCCTTAAGCCCAAAGATCCCTTGGGCCTGTGGACCTCGGGCCAGGTTCAAATTGTCTTCCTGTCAAACATTCTTCTAGGTGGTATAGCACTTGTCTGTGTGTTGCTGTACAGAGGTAACTTGTGGTTGCTGTGATGGTGAAGACTGTGACAGTGATGTGCCAATCGTGGTAATGGGCACCCATGGTGGACAGTGTTGGCTGGAGTTTCCCAACTAAATCAAGCCTGGAAGCAGGAGCGGCATCCACTTCCAAAATGGCTTGCCTCCGGAAACTCTACGTACAAACAGTGCTCAGGCTGTTCGTTCAAAGGGTCGCTATCAGTCGTCTACAACTCGACGGCATTAAACAGCAATAACAATGATGACAACCAAGAGAGAGCTATGTTGGCCTAGTGAAAAGGAAGCTGTGCTACCAAGGCGAAGGTGGGTGATTTTCATCTGTGGCCCTCGGCCAGGTTCAAATTGTCTTCCTGTCAAACATTCTTCTAGGTGGTATAGCACTGGTCTATGTGTTGCTGTACAG